TTGACTGAATGTCAGAAATATGGCCAAGTCAAGAGCAGTGTTAGAAACAGAGCTATGAAAGCTGGGAGCTAAACAGCACCTTAAACCTAGGTTATGGGCGCCACAACGGAATGTCTAAGTGCGCTTGTTTATAACAAGAATCCAGTGCTGAAAATGAATGTACCTCAGCTAAAATCTTACAATTTTTTACATGGTCTAGTCATCATCTGAAGACTGCAAAAAACAAAGCCATGCTTCCCCCACCCACCCCGCTAATATTCTTAAAAGGGTCTCTTCTCCAGTGTTCAAAGGAGCTGGAATTGGGGAGGCAGAAAAGGGCCCTCTTTTCCTTCCTCTCTGCAGTTTACTCTGAACTCTTAGGTGCAGTACTGCTCTCAGAGCTCAGAAACGGCTTGTGCTGATGAAATTGCCTGTCGCAAAATGTGCCTAGAACAATGGGAGTTTCGGACACTGGTCAAGACAATGGTCCAAGAGGTAAGAGAAGAGATAATCACCCTTCATAAGCAAGGAGCAGGATACAAGAAGATAGCGAAGGCACTGAATGTTCCTAGAGACACTGCTGGAAGCATAGTTCGCAAGTTCAGAGGAACAGTGGTTACACTACCTGGACGGGGCAGAAAAAGGAAGCTATCTGTGGAAGCAGCCAGATTTCTGAGAAGGTGGGCTGGGAAAAGCCCTCGAGTGACTTCAAATGAGCTGCAGCAAGACCTGGAGGCAGCAGGCACTGAGGTTTCAGTGAACACAGAAAGCCACAAACTAAACACGTACACCTTCCATGCCAGAACTCCAAGACGTACACCACTACTAACCCAAAAACACATAAAAGTAAGTTCTAATATGAGCAAAATCATATAAATAAGCCACAGAAGTTCTGGGATTCTGTTCTGTGGAGCAATGAAACAAAATTGGAATTTTTCAGCCCCATGGATCAGTCTTATGTCTGGAGGAAGAAGAATGAAGCATACACTGAAAAGAATACAATGAAGAATGGTGGTGGCTCAGTGATGCTCTGGGGCAGCTTTGCATCCTCTGGCACTGGAAACTTGCAGCATGTAGAAGGCAGGATGGATTCACTGAAGTATCAGGAAATCCTAGGAGGAAATGTCATGCCATCTGCGAGGAAGCTGAAGCTTGGGCGTCATTGGACCTTCCAACAGGACAATGATCCCTAGCATCCCTCAAATTCCACCAAGACTTGGTTGCAGAAGTAGTCCTGGAAGGTTCTACTACAGTGGCGATTTCAGTCACCTGACTTGAACCCCATGGAAAATCTCTGGTGGGATTTGAAGAAGGGGTTGCAGAACGCAAACCCAAGAATATTGCTGAACTGGAGACCATTGCTCATAAGGAATGAGCTAAGATTTCTCAGGGACTCTGCCAGAAGCTGCTGTCTGTCTATGCATTGCGTTTGCAGCTGGGCATAGCAGCAAAAGGCTGCTCCACTGAGTACTAAAGATGCTTGCCATGAAGGGGTTGAATAATAGTGAGATTGTAGAAGCCAGGACAAATTCCAAGTTCAGCTGAATTTGGGGAAACCACTTGAAGCATCTGTTGTGTTGAGCTATTTCAATTGCTTTTGTTTGATTTGCTCATTGCAAACAGCTGAAAGTCTGCAAATTTTGACAATAAACCTGATTTGCAACAGGGGTTGAACAATTTTGATGGCAACTGTATATATGCATTTTTTTACTTGGAGGTGCAAAGCGAATACTATTTTTTAAGTTTTTCTTGCTTAAAAATTATTTTCATTGTGCTAGTGTTGCATTGTGCTATTTTGCACATGCAAAATATGTGCATAATTTAGAATTGAGAGTGAATGACTCTTGAGAGTGAATGACATCAAAGAAGGGGAAATGTTTTATTGACCTGTTTCCCCATACTGCTAATGTTACTGCTCCAAACTTTAAAGTCAGCAAGAGCAGAAGAAACCATAAAAACAAACAAGCCAGGAAATAGTGACATAACTGTGCAGCAATGCATGGAGGAATAGGCAGCGTTTGAAATTTGCCAGGTGCCAGGTGCATTTTGCACCGGGCTACCAGCCACTTGCGACCAAGTGAAGATGCCTGGGCGCCCGGAAGCTGCCCGACGTCTCCCCCATCTGGAGGTGCATGCCTGGGGATCTTTGCACTTGGACTGTTTTCACATACTAATACCCCATCCTGTAGAATTATATCCATTTTATTTTATCTGCACAATCAGAATGAATTTCAGGAACCAAAAAGTCATAATGAAAAATACAACTTTTGAACCGTCTGGTCTAAAAATGGCAACCAGGCATCCCATTTTGGCGACTGTAGCTTATATATCTGAATTTCTAACACTGTGCCCAGAGTGGCTGGGGCAACCTAGTCAGATGGGTGGGGTACTACTAGTACTACTACTAATAAATTGCCCCCCTCTCAGACCTCCCCCCACCAGCTCAAATGCGGTGCTCACTTGCCAAGCTTTGTGCTCCATTGAGTTGCATACAGACACACTGCACTTTTATATGTTTAAAAACAAAAATATGCACTTTTAGCAATTAAAAAAGAGCAAAGTTGGAGTATAAATTCTGTCTTCTCTGCTAGTCCTGCCCCCCTGGCCTGGCAAGGCACCCAACCTAAGCTAAAGTAACTTTTTTTTTTATTTTTCCAGCTGATTACAACAGACAGATCTCACATCCTGGGATGGAAAGAGTCTGCCCAAACCAGGAAGTTCAGGTTGTGAGTCTACCTATCCCTCAATGAACTGCTGCACTGCTTTGTCACTATTTCCTGGCTTGTCTGTTTATGTGCAATAATGTTTATGGACTACCTGTAATTACATATGACACCTTTGGGCAAAGAACAACTATCAAAGATAATAAATAAGTAAATAGGTGTTGCCTGAAGAGCTCTCATCTATCTGGAGCCTATTGCCATTTGGTTTTATTAGATGAGAGGTGTTCTACTGTTCTTGGCCAATTATAATTTTCTAAACTTTTGTTACCTTTCCCTCTCTCAGAGATGGGTAACTGTGGAACTCCAGAAGGTTCTGGACTCCAGTTCCCATCATCCCTGACCATTGGCCATGCTTTTGGTCTGGAGGGCAGATTCACCATCCTTGAAAGCCTCGTACCTACGGGACCGCCTCTCCTGGTATGTACCACAGAGAAACTTATGGTCTTCAAATAAAAACATCTTGAAGGTCCCAGGCCACAGAGAGGTTAGGCTGGCCTCAACTAGAGCCAGGGCTTTTTCGGCTGTGGCTCCGATCTGGTGGAACACTCTGTTACAAGAGACTAGGGCCCTGTGGGACTTGACATCTTTCCGCAGGGCCTGCAAGACAGAGTTGTTCCACCAGGCCTTTGGCCAGGGCACAGCCTGACTCCCTCCTTCAGCAATCTTCGCAGAGCTCTGGCCCAATGGTTGCCATTGGTTTGATTTGAATTAATTTTATAATGAATGAATTATAATGAATGATTTTAGAGTGTTGTGCTGTGTTGTACTGTTGTACTGTTGTACTGTTGTTAGCTGCCCTGAGCCCGGCTTCGGCTGGGGAGGGCGGGATATAAATAAAATGTATTATTATTATTATCTCAGTTCTCTGGTTCCTTTATGTAGCCCCCAAACAGGACCAAGCAGAAGAGGGAGCTACCAGGCTTTGCTTATCTGGCTGGCCACTGTGAGAACAGGGTGCTGGGCTAGACATGGCGATCCCAAGGCAAAATGTCCCAAACAGCCTAATAGGGACTGAATGTGCTGAATAGCCCTGGAATACTGACTGACTTGGGGTGTGTGGGTGACCTCAAAAAATGATGTAGGAGGGCAAAGAGAATGGAGTATCATGGAAGGCATGATTGACTGACTGGACCATTTTTGGGGCATGCCCTCCTTACACTATCTGCTTTTTAACCAATATTATTGTACCATTATGTTTTCCTGTTGGTAGACTGCCTACCACTGATGATGATGATGATGATGATGAAAGAACAGTTTATTTAAAAAATTAAACCAAATAAAATTATAAATGCAACAACTTTTAAAATTTTGCTAGAGATACTGATGGTGTTGAGATTCTCCATTCTGCTGAGCCAGAAAGGTTAAGAATGGGGCACAATAACCTCTGGTCTACTGAGGCAAACCAGCACATGCAATTATTATCCTTTAAGGGCACGCATATCTCCAATTATCATCAGATTAGTATAACAATGAATGCTTATAAGCTACCTTGGGGTTTTGGGTTTTTTTTTCCTATTTAGTTCTTCCTACGTCTTAAGGGCAAGCTTTTGAATTTCAACGTGAATTCCAACCAAAGAAATATAAAATGGCACCCAATTTCCCCTCACATTATGTTGTTCTGGGAAACCATCACTGTTTGCTTCAAGGAAGTGGGGACCTGCTTAAAACCTTATAAAAGGAGATTATATGCAAGGAGGCCTTCTCTTCTTTTGTGAAACCAACAAGATGATGCCAGATTGGAGTGTTACAAATCCCCTCATCCTAAACTCGGAAGCAACCCCCCCTTCACTGGTTGAGCCTCGAGGCCACCAACTCAAGTCTCTCCCAACCAAAAACCTCCCGACGTTTCCACGACGGCCACGCACCCCGAGCGGGGCCTGGACGGGGCGGGCCTCCGCCGCGTGATGCCGTTCAAACGTGCCAATGGACGGCCGCGGAGGCGTGTCAAGCGCGCCCTCCCCGCCAGGGGCTTTAAAAAGAGCACCATTTTGTGCCGGCTAGTCCGGGAGGCGGCGGGATATCGATCGGCGTGGTCCGCCTTGGGGAGCGAGAGAAGTTGCGCCCCCCGCGAGGGGAAAAGAAGAGCGAGGCGAAGAAGGGGGGGCGGAGGAGGAGGAGGAGGAAGGCGCCTCCTGCTCCTCCTCTTCGGGGAAGAAAGAGGCAGGAGGCGGCGGAAGAGAGAAGCCGGAGCTGCTGCGCGCAAGTCCCTCGGCCGCAGTAGCTGCTCGACGGCAGGCGGCGGCGCTGGAGAGACCCAGAGGGAGCCGCCGCCGCCGCCGGCGCGGCGCGAAGAAGGCGATGAAACCCCACGGAGCTGCCGCCGCCAGCCATGGAGCCGCCTCCCCCGCCGCCGCCGTCAGCGCCTGGCCTGCCCCTCGGGGCGCCGCGGGCTCGGAGGCGGAGAAAGTGGTGCACTCGCGCTCGCAGGCGCTGCTCTTCTTGGGCGGCGGCACGAAGGCGCTGGGCGACGCCTTCAAGCTGCTGGTGCCCAAGTCGACGGAGTTCATGAGCTCCGACGCCGAGCTGTGGAACTTCCTGTGCAGCCTCAAGCACCAGTTCTCGCCGGTCATCCTCCGCAGCAAGGACGTCTACGGCTACGCCTCGTGCCGAGCCTCCGTGCCGGACCTGTCCCGGGGCTTCGCGGCGGCGGCGGCGCAGGGCAGGAGGGAGCGGCCGTGGAGGAGAGCCGCCGCCAGGGGGAGGCGCCTGCGGGTCGCCGCCGCCGCCGGAGGAGGAGGCGCGAAGAGGGCGGCCAAGAAGCGCTGCAAAGAAGCAGCCGAGGTTGCCCGCTGCGCTTCCGACGGGCGCCCCCAGCAGCAGCAGCAGCAGCCATCGGTTCCCGGCCCGGCAGCGCCGCCCTTGCCCGCGGGGACTCTCTTCGAGGGCAGGTCCCTCGAGAGCATCTGGCAGGCGGCCACCCCCCGCCAGCCGGACTCCTTCCCCTCCGTCAAGGTGCGCGGGAGCGTGTGGAACCGGCGCAGCTTGGAGGCCGCCCGGCGGAGGGCGCGGCGCCTCCTGGGGGTCGACCTGGCGCCCGTCGTGAGACTCCGCCGCTTGCCGCTGGTCGGGCGCAGAGGAGCGGGCGCCCCTTGAAGGACCCGCCCCAGGCACCAGGCTTGGGGGGCGGAGAACCGGGATTGTGGTGTGTTTTTTGGGGGGGTCTTCTCTCCTCGCCAGCCGCGACGTAGCGAACAAGCGAAGGGAGGCGCGTGGCAGTCACCTGTTTACAATTACTTTGGTCCGGATTGGGTCGTCCTTACCATTCAATGAACTGCACTTTAGGGCGAAGTCTTGGGAGGACTGTCGCCCCTTTCCCAGCCCCATTTCCCCCATCTGGACTGGAAGGCCGCCCACAGCTGGCTGCTCGCCACAGGGGAGCCTTTTCTACTTACCTTGATAACCTTGGGCTGAGGAGGAGGCAAGAGATGCAGTCTGGTTTTTCCTTTCCTTTCGAGTCACTTTTTCTTTCTTGCCATTGGGCTACCTCACTCACGAATTTGGCAAAGAGATCACTTGTTGCTCCCCCTCCCCCTTTCCAAAGGAACTTTGCTATCAGTTTAATGCCAATTTCCCCCCCTTTAAGAAGTAGCCAATGGATTATTATGTATGACTTTTGTGCAATTGCACTAGATGCTCAGGGTTACTTGAATATGCTAAGTGTTTCCAGTTTCAGATAACGGGACTTAAGCTTTTGACCAAGGATGCTCAAGGAATAAAGACTTCATTAACAGCTCACGGCTGATTTGATGGTGCAAAAATGTTTTGCTCCTTTTTGTTTTTGTTCTGTACATGAGTTGGACTTTGTGATAACAAACTTTCAATATAATAATGGTTGAATGTTTTGTATGTAATAAAGTTTTATAGTTGAAATTTAACTAGTATTTCTAATAGTTTCTAAAAATGAGAATTGTATTGGATACTTCATTTTATATAATCCTTACTTTAGAGAAGCTCTCAATCTAAGCGAAAACTAATAAAAGTGTAAAAGTAAGAATTTGCTTCTACAGTTTAATTTGTTGAGAAAGAATGTTTGGCCTGGACTACAAGGTGTTAAGGTTCATTGAAAGTGTTCAGGGTGACAAGTTCAGCAAAATCACTAAAATACAAGAGCAAGTAGGAATTTTAGATTGTTTGCTACCTTAAAAAATACCAATGTTGTGGATATTCAGAATTGCTGTTCTGGCCACCTTCTATTTCTCTTTAAATCTGATTGGATCTTCAGTATGCTTACAGTTTAAAATAATCTGTGTGGCCTTGGGATGTGTTAACTAATTGGCATACAATACAAGCTGAAATAGTGCAGTACAGAAAACTACTGACTGCTGAATCCTAACCACATCTATTCTGAAGTAACTATTTACTAAATTCAGTGGTACTTGCTCCCAGGTAAGGGTTAGGACTGCCATCTAAATGCTGAGCTCATTAGGAGCATTTCTATTTCAAACGACTTTTCCCAAATTTGTAGACAAGGGTAGAAATTCAGGATAATGCACCAGCAGCAGTTTTGTCCAAGCAGTAAATAAAACAGGCCTGTTAGCCAAACTTAAAATGCCAGTAGCTGTATTTTAGTAATGGCCGTGTGTTACCTACCACAATAAATGTGCCTTTGTTAGGGCAGGCATAGGTAAACTCTGGCCCTCCAGATGTTGGGGACTACAACTCCCACTGGTCCTGTTAGCTAGGGATGATGGGAATTGTATTCCCAAACATCTGGAGGGTCAGAGTTTGCCTATGCTTGTGTTAGGGGATCCATATAAAGCTTTACCGACGTATAATGGTGGTAGTTAAGCAAGAGATGAGCTGCTCTTGTTTGGATGCATGGCTGTTTGCATGAGTCCACACTGTATCTTTCTTATCCATGAGTTGGAGCCTTCTCTGCTCTCTCTCTTGCCTGCTTTGGAGCAACAAGGCTTTTGCAAAGCTCCAGACTGGAACTTCTTTCGTTATGATAACAGTTGGAATCAACTTTTGGGAAGAATATACATCTGCATTTATAATGCACCACCCGTTGAGGAGAAAGCCGGAACTGGTTGCAAAGAAGAGCAAAGCCCCAAGATGAGTTTTGGCATGAAGGCAGTCCAGACAGAGAGTGTCATCCTTTTGGCTGCCAGCTGGTCTAGTTATTCTGAAGAATCTCCTCAGGACACAAAGCCCTTCTGAGCAGTGTGGCTGTTTTTGGGTCGTTCGCGACTGGACTTAACTGTCAGGGGTCCTTTACCTTTTAATCTGCTACAGAACTGAAGTGTGAAATGACCTTGAGGTAAGTAGGGAAGTCTCTTGTAAGGGGCCACTCTTCCTTCTTGGTGAGTCCATTCACACCAGGTGTAGGGAACCTTCAGCCCTTCAAATGTTGCTGAACTACAACTCACATCCTGTCCCCAGCAAGCATTGCCAGTGGCCAAGGATGCTGGGAGTTGCAGTTCAACAAGGTCTGAAGGGCCACAGCTTCTGCACACCTAGAACTTGTCAACTGATAAAACTGGTTCTAGGTCAAGGGTTTTGAAACCAAATTGCTTGGCCAAGGAGTCCAGCTTAAAGCCAAGGCCTACTAGCAATGGGAATAAGTAATCTTTTGCTTCTCATCTGGCTCCCAACAAATTTTAAGCTTTAAAAATGGAGACCATTTGGCTTTACATACAGCAGCATGTATGCATTAGAGCATGGGTAGGCAAACCAAAGCCCGGGGGCCGGATCCAACCCAATCACCTTCTAAATCCGGCCCATGGACGGTCTGGGAATCAGTGCGTTTTTACATGAGTAGAATGTGTGATTTTATTTAAAATGCATCTCTGGGTTATTTATTTGTGGGGCATAGGAATCTGTTCATCCCCCCCAAAAAAATATATATAGTCTGGTCCCGCACAAGGTCTGAGGGACAGTGGACCGGCTCCCTGCTGAAAAAGTTTGCTGACCCCTGCATTAGTGGGCAGAAACCATAAATCATCTGGTGAGTTGGGTTGCTGCTGTCCACATTTCCCTCCACTGCTGGGCAGTGAAGTTCTCTCAAAATGGTGCCCACCTGTTCTTCCTTCTGATATAACCCAGGGTGATTGTATCTCCATAAGAGCAAGAATTAAGATACTGGAGCCCTTCTCTCAGAAACAAGGTAAGCTGGAAGCATGAGGACTCAGGGTCCTAGAGTCCTCGTCTCCTTCCCAAAGTCTAGTTAGTGCTTGGCCAGCTTTGGAAAGGAGATGGAGAGGGGGCTCTAGGACCCTGCCAGAGCCTCACATCTGCTTCCCAAAGCCTGCCCTCACTTACCAGGCTTTGGGAAGGCAGCATGAGGGCTGGTGTGTATCAAATTTTGGCCTTGCTCCCCCCTCCCGCATGACAAGGCCCACAGGTTCCATGTCAAAGCACTCTTGTGGCATGAAAAGTTATGAAAAGTTGGACTGCGCTAGAATATTAAAGCTTAATAATAAAAAAAAATTTATACCCCGCCCTCCCCAGCCAAGACCGGGCTTAGGAGCAAAGCAGGATATTTCTGTTCTCTGAAATGACCAAAGGAGCCAGGGACGGTTTCCAAGAGCAACCATAAAAAAGCCTGTCAGCTTCTCAGAGCCTAAGATTCGGTGGCTACAGTTTTAAAGAAACCCCTCTATTCATGGGTACCTTAAGGCACTCCCAGATGGATAGCCCAGTAGCTGCACTGGTTCCTGTTTGGGGACAAGGCAAAGGGTCTTAAGGGACAAATTTGGCCAGTCCCAATCCCCACAATTCCTCTGTACCAGGTTTTCAAATAATTTGGCCTAAGGCAGCATTTCTCAAACTGGACCAGGGATCACCAGTGGGCCTCAGGTTTGCAGGCATTTCCATTATTACCCTGCAGTCCAGGCTTTGGGTTCGACTGCTGCCAACAGCTGCTCCTCTGATGCACAGCAAATGGGCTTTGTGGGAGCAGGAGTTGCGTACAGAGTGAGGCTGTGGAATGCAAAGCTGGAAGGAAGGAAATGAGCAATGGCAGGACAGAGCGGCCCTTTGTGAGAGAAGGAAGAGACAGAATGGGAGATGACAAAGAGGAGGTGTGTAGAGCTGCTGTGCCTTCCAGCTCTTCTGCCTCTTGCATGTACTCATACCTCAGCCCTCATTTCTTCCCTCTTGCATCTCTTTGTTGAGCCCAAGAAGCCTCTCTTCCTCCTCGTGAAGGGAAAGAGCCTGAGGGCGCACTGAAGGAAATGAGGAATATTTAAAACCATTCAAATATTTAAAATTAGCAGCCTCACACTCGGAATTCTAAGAAACAAATCAACTAGTGCATTTTTTTAATTAGTGGTTAAATTGGCACAGCTTTGAAAGGTTCAGTCCATCATCTTGATTTAAAATGGTGTCCAATTATGTATGTCTTAACATGGATAAAAACCTCTCCTTGGTATCAGAAACCATCATGCCAAATTGGGTTATGGTATCGTAAGAGGTATCCAAACTATTTTTTTTTTAATCTACATAAGTAAACTGTGTGCAGGTCAGCAGAAGAGCTAACATGGATAACATGCCTTTCTAAAAGGCATTTATCTCTCCATAACCCTTTAGAGAAGATAATGAAAAGGTAGAGGAAAGGACAACCAAAACTATCTAGCGGCTGCAGCAGCTTCCTTTTGAGGAAAGAACACAATGTTCAGAATTTTTTAGATTAGAAAACAAGGCAAGTGTTGGGGGACATGATGTGTTAATAAAATTATGCATAGCGTAGAGTTAAAAACAGTTAAGTTTTTATCCATCTCTTAACACTAGAAGCAGGCACTATCCATTGAATATAAATGTTGTGAGATTTAGGACTGCCAAAAATCACATAAAGCAGGCATGGCCAAACTTGGCCCTCCAGATGTTTTTGGGACTACAATTCCCATCATCCCTGACCACTGGTCCTGTTAGCTAGGGATGATGGGAGTTGTAGTCCCAAAACATCTGGAGGGTCAAGTTTGGCCATGCCTGACATAAAGCATGGAATTCACTGCCAGGAGATCTTATGATGGCCAGCTTTAAAACAGGATTATACAAATTCTTGGAGGATTAATCTGTAAATTGCTACTAATTCTTATGGTGGGCTACTACCTCTGGTATCTGAGGGAGGTTGTCCTCCTGAGGGGCTTCTCACAGGAGATCTTACTTGGCCACTGCATGAGCAGAATGTTGGACTAGATAGGCCTGTGATCTAGACAGGTCTGTGATGGGGCTGCTCTTCCAACAGAAACAGAACAAATCATTTTTCTTCCTGTCCTCATATAAGAACCTGTCCAAATCCTCTAACAGTTCCTTATGTCCCTTAAGCAGACCTTTAAGCTTAGGGTTTATGGAGCCTTCAAAGGTTCCAGCATGAGGCCTCTGTCCTACTGATGGCAGAAGAACAGAAGTTTCTTCTGCAGGTGGTTAAGCAATTAAAACCATGCAAGTTTTGCCTAGAATCCATTCGTGTTCCTCAAGATAATGTTTGTTTTCCCTTCAAGGTGCAAGTTAAAGGCTGTAACAAATGTTATAGCACTGTCCCAGTATTCGATATATTGAGCAGGTTCCTTCCTAGGGGAAAACACACACACACACACACACACACACACACACACACACAAGTATCAAATCTATTTAATTTGGAGGTGCTCTTCATTCTTCCTGACAATCAATTGCTGCAAAATCTGGACCCAACTTGGCTCCACCTTGCTGCTTAGAGACTTGGCAGGTGTATCCTATGATCTTTTTACTATTATCGGGAATAGAACTGCGTCTATGAGTCTACTTGGAAAGCATTACCAATATGGTGAGGGTGAAAGAAAAGTTGATTCTTCCGTTTGCTAACATCGGGGAAGAATGTTTCTCCAAACAGGTCTGGTCAGTGATTTTGTTTGAAGTACAAGTGACTCCCCACTGCTTACTCTAATTTGACCTGGAAATGGCAGGAAAGAGCTGGAGAGTCTTTGTGGAGCTGGTGACCCTCGCTGGAGCCTGAGAAAACATAAGTGAGGGTGAGGAAACCCAAAAGAGACTTAGATGTGCGGTGGGCCTTTGTTTATACTGCTCAGCCTCCCCACCTAACAGCTGGTGTGAGGGGTAGCGCAGCCACCATCACTTCCCTACATGTGGCAGAGAGGGTGTCCAAAACAGGGTTAAGAGGCTGCTCCCCACTTTACGTGATTTCACTTATGAGCTTGGGGCCTCTGAACGTAACAACCTGCATAAGTGGAGAGTCATCTATACCTTTGAATGCCCAAGCAGCAGCCTTGGGTTCTGTGCTGTTAGGTAGTAAAGGGTCTACTCTAGAATGATTAATCTTGTGGGTTCAGTCTAGTTAGCAGAAGCTACACTCTTGGACTCCTCTCAAAAATGGATAGTATTTTATGAGATCAAGGGATAAGAAAACAACTTAGCATGACAAAATCAGCACAGCTAACATAGGCGCCAACTCCCAGGGTCTGAGGGGTCTTTGTTCCCTTCCCTAAAATATTGGAGGGGGCCAAGCCCCTCCCAAGGTCAATAGGCATTGCCATTCAAATGGTGTGCCCACACCGTGTCATGTGATTGATCATGTGGGGAGGTTCTTACTATCCCCCCATATTTTATTCAAGTTGACACGCCTGATAACTAATTTATCCTCAAAGCAAAACTGAAGCTATACTTTACAAACCTCTCATTGCTTTCCCTCCCTCCCAGCTATCCACTACTACGCCATAACTCCCCCATCCCAGGATTCTGTTCCGTTGCCTTGGTAACCAACCACACTCACTCCGATTCCACTCCTTCCCAACTAGCCCTTCCCTTTTTCTTTATTACAGGATGTTCTCTGCTGATCCCTTCATCTGTACACAGATGCCCATGATGGGATCTGCACTAGATTTGCAAGAGTGCTCACATGGAGCCTTTTGAGTAAAGGTCTAATTGCATCCTTGCCTGCTTCTAATGTATTTTAATATTTTGGTTTTTAAAATAGCCTTTATGCTTTTCGTGCTACACTCCTTTTTTACCTTTTGCATTTCTTATTGCAACCTCCACCAAGGTTTGTTTTTTGTCCTCCTCATGTGGGGAAGACTTCCATTGTATGGGGAAAAAAAGCCTTCTTGCCTTTGATAGCTTTGTTGACTGTTTTTTTTTAACCATGCAGGCATCCTCTTGTACCCAATGGTGCATTTTCTGATCTGCTGTATTTTCTGGTGCATTTTCTGATTCTAGTGGAGTTTTTAAAATAGTGGCTTTAAATATCTCCCACGCATACTGGAGAGATTTGATCTTCTTGACTTTTCAACTTCTTTTCTACCAGTTCTCAAATTTTACACACTTACCCGGTTTGTGAGGGTCTTTTAAGTTGTCTATTCCTGCAATCCTTCCTCCTTTGAATGCCTCTTGGATTCCATTCTCCATCTCAAGCCCTAGGCTTTTGTTTTTCAACAGCCAAGCCATGGACCCCCTCCTTTTGAAAATGTTGATATCTCTATGCCAGTTTTTATTATGTGAATGGTGCTGGAAAAACCCCTGGGTGGGTAACGTGGACACCCTGGGGTCTACGGACCACTAATTAGGAACCACTGCTTTAGAGAAGTCCACCCATTTTGGGGTTTCTTGTTTGACTCTCTCCTCATTGATATACAGATGGACACCACCCTAAGACCTTCCTATAGTGATGCCCTCTTTCAAAGCTGCATGCTCCAGCTTACCCATCTTGGCTCACCTGTTTCTAGCACTGGCACATAGAACATTTATATATGGTGCCTCTTTTCAAATGTATCTGACTCGTATGTTTTTCCCTGCGGTACTTTGAGCTTTTATTTTTTAATGGCTACCATGTCCACTTTCATTGCCTACTTCTATCCCCATTCCCATTTAGATAAAACATCTTCATTCTCACCTCCTAGAGATGATCCACCTTGAAATGGGCATTCCTTAGCTCCTGACAGCTTTTCACAGCTGTCAATTTAACAATTACTCTGAGGTTCCATACCTCCACACCAAATGTTTTAACTACCTTCATTGAAAAAAAGTGTTGTGTTTAAGGAGGCATTCCATGAAAAGATCTGCAGTGATAGGTCTGTGATGGCTCATTCATGCTGTAGTCATCAAATGATGGACAGCAATATATGGAAGAAGGACAAAGTTATGGGTACTTAAAACCAACATTATATACAGTATAACCTCAGATGTCGAACGTAATCTGTTCTGGAAGACCGTTCGACTTCTGAAACGTTTGACAACTGAAGCGCAATTGCTGGTCGGCAAAGTTCATTGAAAAAATTGAGAAACGCACCTCGGAAGCTGTTCGACTTCCGAGGCGCGTTTGAAAACGGAGGCACTCACTTCGCGGTTGTCGGCATTCAAAAGCCAAAATGTTCAACTTCCAAAGCGTTTGACAACCGAGGTTCCAGTGTACCCTGCTTCTCTCTCCCCACCTCTCCTCTCCCCCAACATTATGTTGTCTGTTAGTGTCTCACACATCAAATATAACTGATCTCTAGAAAGGACTCTATGAACTGAAACCAGAGATGCTGTATGTACTTTTGTAACCCAAGAAAACCTTAATGAAAACATTTTTAATATAAAACCCCACCACCACCTTAAAGAGATTGTTACAGTACTTCAGAAACTGAATAATTTTATATTTTTAATCTATTTATTAAAATATATATGCTTCGTTTTGTCGAAGGTTTCAGAGACTGTTTTGTGAATCTTACATGTAAATGCATAAGACTGGCAATGGAGTCCTTTTACCATTTCCTGGCAGGGCACAGAGCTATGGCTAGTCCTAGGCAGTGCTTTTTTCCTGGGGGGGGGGGGGAAACGCAGGGTTACGTATACCCCTAAACATTTTGTGAATCTTTGTACTCTTGTCCATTTGCTGTATTTATTTTTCCCAATTGGAACTATTAAATGGTGATTTTCTTGAGTCAAAATGAGAGTACCCCTAAATATTTTTTAAAGAAAAAAGCACTGGTCCTAGGCACTGAATTTAGGAGACTATTCATTTTGCGTGTTCTTTTAGGGGAGATAGAAGAAGGGTGTTCAGATAGTCGTAACTTTGTAAACTAACTCTCACTAACTAGGACATTTTTTTGGGTGTGGGGAGCCACTGAATTATGATCGCCTCTCTTACTACTGAGTCATGACACTAAAAATAAGCTCCCTGGCTAAGTCTATAGGATTCCTGGCTCCAGCAAAGCCCTGGATCTTTGGAACTGATCCAGTCATTGTTTACTTCTGACTGATCTTACGGCATTATGAGGAGAATTGTGGTACGCATTGTCCTGTAGAAGGAACAATTAAGAAGATTCTTGAAATCTAAGAGCTCCTGATGACAAATTGTTTTAATGTCCATTTATTAATTATAGGCATTGCTTGTTCTGGCCCTATTCATTGAATGCAATTCCAGCCACCATTTCCCCCCTGTTGGCAGAGCAATCCCAACTCCCTTGGTTCTTGACTGGGATGGGTGGAATCGTCAGAGCTGTTTGTCCACTCCGACCTGCTGCTCTCCCTTCTGCCTAATGAGCACAGGATTCTGAGCCCGTCTCAACGTTACACATTACGCCTGTCCGCATTTCACACAACTCCCCAACTACTCTACCAATATGTTGGAGAGGTTCCTTAATCACTGGCATGTATGTACATATGTGGTGGACTTGCTCTTGGGTTCAGCAATTCTGGACTTGTATTTCTAATGAAATTCAGAAAATTACGATATACCTCAACATTCAATTATGAATCCACAACTGGTACTCTTAAACCCTTTTTCTTTATAGGAAACTAGGCGTCTCTGACAAAGGTCTAATTGGGCACTTCTTAATGGCCGCAAGACTAACTATCACAAAACGCTGGAGGAACACAACTGAAGCTACACTTCCATGCTGGTACCACAAAATGTGGTATATCGCTCTTATGGAGAAGCTAACCCCCAAATTGAGTGTCTTACATGGCACTCTGAAGACAGACAAATTTACTTCAACTCGGAGCTCTTTTATCAGTTAATAATACAGAAGACAATTCACAGCCTCCTCCCCCATACTATGCAAATTAAGAACGCTTAACATCTATATTTATGTTTTAGCACTGAATTCTCATCTTGTTCATTGTGCTGACTGACGGTGATCTTGTTCTTTTATATCTTGTCATGTAAACAGTTTTCCTGACCTTATTTATCTTCTTTGTCTTCCACTCACAACAGAGTTTTGCCCAAGTGTTATTCCGGAGGAGGAATTGTGTGTGGATTGCTAACAAAAATTAAAATTTTATGGGGTGTGTGTGTTGTGGCAAGGTAAATAGTTATTTGCTCTGTTGTTACTTGATGTACTGGATTCATCAACCTTTGCAATAACAGTTATTGACTAAAAAATGGCAAATATCTGTACTGTTGAAGACATTTTAATTATTCTGTACCTCTAATTTGTGTATGTGTGTGTATATACACACACACACATAACACAGAAGAAAGCAGAGGGTCATTAGATACTAACTTGAGTGGAGGCAGAAAAAAAGATTGCCAGATTAAAATTTTATAAAGCAAATTTGCTGGTGGACTGATTTTTCAAATAACATGACAAAACACATTATTTTACTCATAGTAAACTGGCAAGAAGTTTATGTGGAAACCAGCTTTTGTTTAGATTTGTGATATTTGGCACCTTTTTTATAATTTTGTAGGGAATACCTTTATCAATGATGGGCTCCATCCTGGGTAATGTGGCAACAAAGCTATTGCTGCCACCTTCTGAAGTTGCTCACAAGGTACCAGGGATTGGATGTGCTCCTGTGAAAGGGGCATTTGGAATAGTCCAGGAAGACGGTCCCAAGCAGTGGTCGAGATTCAGGCAGTCTGCCGCGTTTCTGTGGATTTGTGGTTGAAGATGGGAGGCAGCATCTCATTGAATACCCATGTTGTGGTGTTGTTTTATATTTGTATTTACGCATTTATGTATTTTGTTGCACAACTTGAATACTATGGAATTCAAATGTACAATATGCAAGAAATAAAGGAAGCAATAAAAATACAATTGCATTTTTCACAGCATCTAAAGCAGCGCATTACAATTGCTAAAACGGGCAGAGAAAATAATTATGTGGTCCATCAAGGGTACCTTTGAGATTTTCAAATGCTCTTTGGGGCTGGGAGTGGGGTGGGGAGTTTGGGAACCATTGGTCCTGGCCAAATGAACATGCATGCAGCTATAATGTAGCTTCCCTTCCCTCCCCTTCCCAAATTAGGAACTAAGAATGCCAGGAACTCGGTGTTGCTTTTTTTCCTACAGTGCAATGCTGGAAGTTAAGGTTATCTATAAGACTGAACATTCTCTCTATCTTAAAGAAATCTTGGAGGGTTTTGTCATTCTCTCTCAAGAGGTAGAAGAATGAAAGGATGTGTGCTCCCTTTGAGAAGGATCGCATGAAACATTCTACATGACCTTTTTGTAGCATCTTCCAATGTATCACTTAGGCAGATTGCTCAAGGACAACAAACTTCAGGAAGGCAAGACATAGGCTGACTTAATTAAACAACCATACTTGAATTTATTAAGGGGGGTTTACAAGGAGATGAAAAGAGAACCCTTGAACTCTTAGCCTGAATCTTCTGAAAAAGGTTTAGTGTGTATGTACACACTAGCGACTTGAAACATGAGGTCATTTCTCCCCTTTCTGGCAGTGAAAAATGGAAAATCAATGATATGTTTAGCCCGGTCAATCTGTTGTGAACAAGTAATTGAGAGGAAAATAGCAGAGGGTTGCTTCACAAGTTGCCTTTTGTATTTGGTAACAGATTCTTTCCAAAATCCATACGCTTAAAGCCACGTATGAACAACATGCACAAATTGTTTTGTTGTTATTGCAGGGGTGGTTTTATTGCTTTTAGAATTTGTTGATTTTGTGGTTTTCAGACCTGTGTTTTTGTGTTTCATTATGTTTTTATCTTGTACATCCCTTTGACAACTTTATGCTGTGAATAAATATGAATGATGATGACTTTTGGCTATGTTGCAAACCAGCAGCCCCAGCCCTGAAAGGGACATTTGGTGGCATGTTGTTGTTGTTGTTGTTGTTGTTGTTGTGTGTTACATTTTATGTACATACAGTATAATGCATATGTCTACTACTGTAGTATTATTATTGTTGTTGTTGTTAATTAGATTTAAATACTGCCCTTCATCATAAAATCTCAGGGTGGTTCACAAAATAAAATTTAGGACAAAAACAAGTAAATAAGTACCGTGGTACCTCGGGTTACATATGCTTCAGGTTACATACACTTCAGGTTACAGACTCCGCTAACCAATTAATAGTACCTCAGGTTAAGAACTTTGCTTCAGGATGAGAACAGAAATCGTGCTCCGGTGGCGCAGCAGCAGCAAGAGGCCCCATTAGCTAAAGTCGTGCTTCAGGTTAAGAACAGTTTCAGGTTAAGAACGGACCTCCGGAACGAATTAAGTACTTAACCTGAGGTACCACTGTAAATCAAAACAGCAAATCAATACCCCCCCTTCCCACGGATGCATTTAAAGGTTGTGAAACATTAATCAGCCAAAGATCTGGTTGATGAGGAACATTTTTGTCTGGCATCTAAAAATAAGTAATGAAGGTGCCAAGCAAACTTCCCAGGGGAGAGTGTTCCACAAATGTGGGGCCACTTCAGAAAAGGCCCATTCTCGTGTTGCCACCCTCCTAACTTCATGTGGAGAAGAGCCTCAGGTGATGAACATAGTCTGGGATGGTTTATATGGGGGAGAGGTGGTCTTTCAGGTTTTCCAGTCCTGAGCTGTTTAAGGCTTTATAGGTCAAAGCCAGCACTTCGAATTGGGCCCGGAAATCAATCGGCAGCCAGTGCAGTCGGCTCTATCCCACTCCTAAAGAGCTCAAGGTGGCATATGTAATCGCTTTATAATAACAGACCATGAGTTAGGTTCAGCTGAGAGCCATTGACTGCCTCAATGTCATCCAGTGAGCTTCATGCCTGAGTAGAAATTTGACAAGAGCTTCCCAGAAGAATTTTTGTCATCTTGAAAATGGTTTCAGAGCACCAGGGGCCATGGAACTAACTCTAAGGTATCCAGTTGTGTCCCTCAGCGGAGGGAAGGTTCTTTAATTCCAGAGAAGCTGCCCTTAGCATAAAGGAAGCATGGAGGGGGGAAATTTGTAACTTTCCTTCTGTAGTCCCAGCTGTCCAATCTGTTCCTATTCCCATCACCCCCAGTGCAAATTCTAGGAAATTACTATTGCGCGCACTAAGTTTCACTTCAGAATGAATGCATCAAGAACTGGGGCATAAGTCAAGTACCCCTAAGTAAATTTCAAAATAAACAAGCATGGCGTAGAAAAGGGTCAATTAAATTAGGAGTTTCCAGACTCCAGGGGTGATAGGATCAAAGGTCAACTGTCTCTGTGTGTCTGTGAGTGAGAGAGAGGCTAATGCTTTGATCCAATCAGAGCTTTGGATCAGATATTGCAATTGTATTAGCTGGAGAACAAAATAAGCATATCAGAGTTTATGTAGATGCTAGTGAGGTTGCATGCAAGACAAAAGGCATAGGTAAGGGGCAGGCTTGAGTGAAGGAGAGAGTTGTTGCTAGACCATGTGCTGGAAAATGCAATCATCCATGGCAGGAGCAAAGAAAGCTGGCTTGATAATCATGTCTTATAATAGTAGTAGTAGTAGTAGTAGTAATAATAATAATAATAATAATAATAATAATAATGTTATTATTTATACCCTACCCATCTGGCTGGGTTTCCCCAGCCACTCTGGGCGGATTCCACCAGAATATTAAAATACAATGATTCATCCCTTATCAAAAGCTTCCCTAAACAGGCCTGCCTTCAGATGTCTTCTAAAAGCCTGATAGTTGTTTATTTCTTTGACATCTGATGGGAGGGTGGGCACCACTACCGAGAAGGCCCTCTGCTTGGTTCCCTGTAACTTTGCTTTTCACAGTAAGGGAACCACCAGAAGACCCTTGGCACTGGATCTCAGTGTCCGGGCAGAATGATGGGGGTGGAGACGCTCCTTCAGGTATACTGGGTCGAGGCCGTTTAGGGTTATTTACTAGGGTTGTGTACCAGGGTTGTGTTCACACTGCCCCTTTAAAGCACAATCAAAGCACATTTCCCCCCTCAAAGAATTCTGGGCTCTGTAGTTTGTTAAGAGTTGCTGGGAATTATAATATTGTGAAGGGTAAGCAACGGTACCCAGAATTATTTGTGGGAAAGAATGTGCTGCAGATGTGCTTTAAAATAGCACATTCTTGTGAAAAGAAAAACAAGACGTGTTTGATATATTACATGTTTGCATCATTTCTGCTAAAATCTCCAGGTGATGGGTGTTTATCTCTAGTAAGTTACTTTTAAGACACCGCTTAGTCAAGTCACTCTCAAACTGTGTATTGCAAAAGAGAGTGCCGCTGTCAAATCAATTTATTACAGACTCCGCAGAGGAGGCTGCTTGTGACATCTCTGAATGATTCTCTGGTCTTAGCATGCTCTCTGCCTTGGGTGTGTGACTGGATGATTCCATCATTACCAATGGAAAGATGCAGCAGAAATGTAAGCTCTCAGGGGAGGCTTCCCCTTCCACCTCTGCAGGAGTAGCTGCCCTGCACTGGCCTCCTTCCAATAAGGAGATATGCCCAGAATAGGACTCTTTCAAGTCAAAACACAGAGGATGGGCTCCACTGGGTAGACTAATCCTAGTCTCCATGCTCCATCCATGCTCTAAAAACAAACCCGTCTGGAGGTGAAGGCTGCCTTCCGTTTTCAACCCATTTTAAGAAAATGCCTCATTCTTCAAAGCAACTCCCTTTACGGGGGCCAGGCTTTAAACTTGGGGAAATTCAGACGTGGCTCATCATTTGGTATCAAGGGGAAAGCTGTGACTAAAAGGATTGCGATGCTGTGGATCTATCAACACGTTTTCCTGGATTGTGGCCAAAGTGCACATAGGCGTAACTGAGGAAACAGAACTGGGTTCCCTGCTTCCAGGGCTGGATCAGCCAATAAAATTATTTACGTGTACTGCAAGAACCGTATCGGAAGAAGTGTTCATTGTTAACGGAGAAATCTGATGGCTCCCTTGGACAAAAAACAAGGACACCAGCCAGGAATAGCAGAGCAAAACAGCAGTCAGTAGGCTTGGTCTTACTAAAGACTGTCGTGACAGGACTCCCTCCTGCCACAAGGTGAAACAAGATGGAAGCCCCTTACAAAAGAGAACCCAAACTTTTATTAGCTGCTAATCCCCATGTTACACCCCGCCCTACACATCATCACTAAAACATCATGGCTACATCATGAAAGGGTCTGGTGGCAGTAATCTGAGCATCCTGGACCCTGCCCCATGCCTCCCTTTGCCCTCCACCAAACACCCATCAAGTGTAACAAAAGAGATATTTGCATTTCCCTGTTTCCCAGCCAAGTTAATCACACCCTTTTGTCTTCATCTGGGTTTGTTATTTCTGGAATAGCTACCTGTCTGGCACTCAGGTATTAGGATGCCAGGGATTATCACTCAGGCAGAGGGGCTGCTGAGTAGCTGAGCTCACATGTCTATATGAATTTCTGAAGTTTTCCCAGTGAGCCAGAACATAGATATATTTATCAGTGAATTGTTACATTTGGTATTGTGCAGCAGAGGCCCTTTGAATAGATAGGAAGAAACTGTGATGAAGTGTTTTGTGGGGACAAGTCACAAAAGTGATTGTGCTGATTTTGGTATTGGGCTGAATGTGCATGATATCTGCTGGAGGGGCGAGGGGCCACTAGGGGCGCATCGGAAGATGGCTGACAATAACATCTCTCTGACCCACAGGGGGTAATTAGGAGGCTGTGATGGGAGTAATTAGCCTCCCTACCCCCCCAGGATTGTGGGAGGGAGGCTGCCCGGGCCTGCTGTGCCCTATACCACTCCCGAATTTGAGGGGATGGGGGCACTAGGCAGAATGCCCCCCTGTGGATCTCGGTGCTTCTGGACGCCATCCCTGATCTGCGCCGCTAGCTGCAAGAACTTCAAAAGGAACAATTAGGAAGAAGCGAATGCACATATTTCAAGGAAGGAGGGGGAGTAAAGACTGCTAACTGAAGAGTTCTCTGATATGCAAGACGAGTCGGAAGAATAAGAATCAATCATGAGAAGACAGCTAAGACTCGGTATGGCAAAGGGACTGATGGGGGAGGGGGAAAAAACCTTTCTTTCTTTCCTCTATGTGATAAAACAAGAACCCCCCCCCCTCACAAGTCAGAAATGCCGCTTTAATGACTTAAGCTGTGGATTTACGTCTGTGTGGAGATAACTTTTCTAACCAAAGCATGTTTTAAGAAGAGCGTGGAAAGTTTAAGAGCTCTGGAATGATGCAGTTAAAAATACCGTCGCCATATTGGTAAGCTCTGTTGGAGGACTTGAGTCTGGGAGGAGAAAAAGAGCTGTTTTTATACTGTGGGTGAGACTCCTCAGTGGGACTCAAAAACGACAGATCCTGAGATGGAATGATGGAAAGAGCGATGTTATTTATGAAAGTGATGATATATGGAAACCATCACGATATGAGGATTGGTCGAACGGAAAAATCCACACAAGATATAATTGGTGTTTATCTGCTTAAGGATATTATCAGAAGAGATCATAAAAAAAAGAAAAATGTACGAATAAGAGGAGATGTGGAAACAGCAAGATAAGACTGGATAGGATTATGAACTTTATTTGGACTGATTTGGATATGAACGCAGTAGCAAGAAGATGATTGGAATCCCCCTTCGAAACTTGAAATATTGGTCCCCTCAACAAAAATTTAAAATTCGGCTTTGTAATTCGGAATTTATGTGATGTGATTTGATTGGTCGGTTAATAATTTTTTTAAAAAAAAAAGATATCTGCTGGAGGGGCAACCCCCCCCAACCTATACATAAATTCCTGCAACAGCATGCACACGAAAGCTAATACCAAGAACAAACTTAGTTGGTCTCTAAGGTGCTACTGGACAATTTATGTTTTTTATTTTTATTTTATTTTGACTGCAAGAACCTTGTTCCCTTTGCCCTACAGCTATAGAAGGTTCTCCGCCCATGGTGTGCAGGATTGCTTGGTTAATTCTTCCTTGCAAATGTAATTTTGTTTTGCCAGGCCTGTTTAAGTATAAGTACTGCATAAGGTATAAACTTATAGACTCAGATTAAGTGCCGACGTACACTTTCTATGCTGAATTTGTTTATGGTTTTCAGTTTCCGTTTTCTTCACCCACCCTGTCAACTTTGACTGTTCAGCAAAAGTGTTCAGCTGGAAACAAAACCTCGCTGAAACTGCTAGATGCCAGGAAGTTGAGTAATCTGAAACCTTGCCCTACGAATCTGACACCCCGTTTTCCACCCTGGAGAGATCCCAGCGAGAGTCGCCACTGCCTGAGAGAACAGTCTGTTCCTAAACATTTATCTCAATCATATTGATAGAAACTCTTGAGATAAGTCATTTGGGTGTGGCCAACAAATGCATTCCCTATAGTATGCAGCTTGCCCTTGGCTCCTCCAGAAAATACCTGGAGATTAAGAGACGACACACCATGGCAACTAATTTTTATTGTAAAAACCAGCTTGCCTTCCTTTGATCCAACAGCAAATGATTAGTAGTACATCTCAACAACTCAACCTGATTAACAATGGTAAAGTGGATAATCTGTCAGCTTTTCGTAATATGAAGATAGTTTTAATATATTCTTAAACACTATGCAATCTGAGCCTAAGGTGGAGGTGCTCACAGCATTAACACCGCAACAGAACTGGCTTCTCCACTAGTCACAGCTTTGGGTCTGGCATAAATCAAGCATGTCTCTGTTTCCTAGGGTCTCAGCCTCCTTTCTGTTCAGCTCCCACACAACTGCCCAGGTTTTTGTCCTTCTAACTACCAGGCCACTCATTTGCCGTCCGGAGCAGAGCAAAGTATTTGCTTATATGAATGAAGGCACTTAAATGGCAAGCTAAGTCCATTATCTTATAATTGCCTAGTTGGAAACAGAACCCTCCACCATCTTTTAAGCCTTACTGAGTACAGGACCCCAAGAATTGGAGGTGACTCACAGCATCACACAGATGGACCCCACCTCAAACCTGCTACTATATGTACAACCATTTCCTGATCCTAAACATGTTTACACACAAATGTTTCAATGAATTTAATGGGATTGGCTTTCCCATGAGCACAGGACTCACTTAAAATAGCCACCACTGCACTACAGTACACTAGCAGCTTACATCAGATCGGGTTGCCATATGTCTTGGAATTCCCGTACATGTCCTCTTTTGGAGGTCCTACATGCCCATCTGGGGGAATTTTACATTTTAAAGCAAATGTCCTGGATTTAGGGTTTGTTTATTAAAAATTGTGCACTGGTGTCTCTGGTTCAGGCTCTGGCATGTGTGACTTGGGCTTGGCAGCAGCAGCAGGGTTATCAGCAAAACTAAACTTCTAGCAGTAATGTGGAAAACATAATGAGAACAATTGGAAAGGGAGCACAAAAGTCGCACCTACTATATAGATTTCAAGAGACCACCACCACCACCAAACATTTACTGTATATATGTCGCACTTGATGATGCCCTCATCTTAGTGTGTTGAAGGCACGAATCAACACATGACAAAAGTGGAAATACCACAGTTACCTTATTTGGCCCATTCCACATCCTCTCCAGAAAGCCAGAAAGTTTTGTATTTCTTTTGTGCTTGCATAAGCAATAAAACAGTGCCAATCTGCCACAAAAGAATCTTCTTATTTTTTTACTTTAGCCAGATGTACCCGTATTTTTCGCACCATAGGGTGCACTGGACCATAGGGTGCACCCAGTTTTTAGGGGGGGAAATCAAGAAAAAAAATCTTCCCCCCCCCCAGCCCCAAAGAGCAGCGTACAGGCTGCGCACAACCTCTCCCTGCCGGAGGGGTTGCGCGCAGCTATGGAAGACGCCAAGTTTTAGCTTCCCCTTTAGCCCCGTGCAGCCTCTCCATGCCGGGAGACGCTGCGCAGGGCTAAAGAATCCATAGCCCCGTGCAGCCTCTCCTTGCCGGAGGGGTTGCGCGCAGCTATGGAGCAAGTCAAGGCAGGGGGCGGGATGGATCCCGCTTGCTGTTTTGGTTTCCCCTTTAGCCCCGTGCAGCCTCTCCTTGCCATGAGACGCTGCTCAGGGCTTTCCTGGCTTTACTGGGAGGTGGGGGGATTCCCCCACCTCTCGCAAAAGCCCGCAGAAGCCACGCAACCCCTTTAAAGAGATCGCGGCTTCTCCTGGCTTTTCTGGGAAGTGGGGGAATTCCCCCACCTCCCGCAAAACCGGCAGAAGCCGCGCGCACTTTAAAAGGGCTGCATGGCTTCTGTGGGCTTTCCTGGGAGGTGGGGGGATTCCCTCACCTCTCGCAAAAGCCCGCAGAAGCCGCGCAACCCCTTTAAAGAGATCGCGGCTTCTCCTGGCTTTTCTGGGAGGTAGGAGAAGGGACTGATGCGGCCAGTCAGTCCCTTCTCCCTCCTGTGGAAAAGCCCGCAAGAGCGCACGGAGCCTGTGTGCGGCTCTTGGGGGCTTTTCCCGCCTGCCTCCCCCCTGCATTCGCTCCATAGGATGCACACACATTTTCCCTTGCTTTTTAGGAGGGAAAAAGTGCATCCTATGGTGCGAAAAATACGGTAAATTATTTTCCCACCAAAACGAGTTGCCAATCCATCTTATGTCGCTTAATTAACATGGCATCCTCTAGGTCCTTCCAATATTGAGCAACAACGAGCCAGGCAGTTGCAAGAATAATAAGTTTGAAATTGCAACCCCCATTGTCGTTTTGAAAATCCTGGCCAGTTCCCGAGAGTTCAACAGCTGCTGTCCAGTCATTTTGGTAAATTTTGCAAAGACCGTATTCCAAAATGGCAACACGTTTTTGACAAGTCCACCACGTATGCTGGAATGACCCCCGTGCCTAAATTATTTCCAGCTCTCCTACCCCACTCCTGGCAAAAAAAAATCAGGGCGTGGGGCTTTGGATGCTGCCCTGCCCTAGGAGTCAGCTGGCTCATGGAGAAGCACAGGAGCCAGAAGACAGGCGGGTCGGCTGGCAGCTCCTCGCTCTCTTCCCTGCTCTCTCCCTTCCTCCTCCCATGCATACCTCAAGCCACCAAGTCAATGGCAGCAGTAGACAGGCATTGACAAGTCCGCCGCCTCGGCTCCAGTGGGGAAATGCACCCCCTGTGCGCAAGGGCTCCTCTTAAGGAAGGTTCCCATTATAAGCACAAGTGTTGGCTCCTCCCCGCTGCTCTGCGGCGCTGACTCAGAGGGAAAGCAGACCATATTAACTATTGCCCTTCTTTTTTCTTCCCTTCCCTTCATAGGAATCTATCTTCTCCAGAATCCATTGGCCTATCTACCGCAGCATTGAGGAGTCTTAATCGTGGCCACAGTGATCCATGCGACGGTCACCTCCAGGCTTGACTACTGTAATTCGCTCTACGCGGGGCTGCCCTTGAAGCTGTCCCAGAAACTCCAGCGGGTGCAGAATGCTGCAGCGAGGCTCCTTACGGGGTCTCTGCCATGGGAGTATATTCACCCAGTGCTTTTCCAGTTGCACTGGCTCCCGGTGGAGTACAGGGTCAGATTTAAGGTCCTGGTTTTGACCTTTAAAGCCCTTCATGGCCTAGGACCCTCGTACCTACGGGACCGCCTCTCCCGGTATGCCCCACGGAGGACCTTAAGGTCCATATATAGCAACGCCCTAGTGGTCCCGGGCCCTAAGGAAGTTAGATTAGCCTCAACCAGAGCCAGGGCCTTCTCAACACTGGCTCCGGCCTGGTGGAACACTCTGTCTCATGAGACCAGGGCTCTGCAGGATCTGATTTCTTTCCGCAGGGCCTGTAAGACAGAGTTGTTCTGCCTGGCCTTTGGCTTGGAGCCAATTTGATTCCCTCCCCCTCTTTCTCTTTTCTTTTCCTTTCTCCTCCGGCGACGAGGCTACATTTTAATATTTTAATGCTTCAATATTTTAATGTTGTATTTTAATTTTGTTTTTAAGTTGTATTCATTCAACTTATTTTTATTATTGCTTGTTAGCCGCCCTGAGCCCGGCCTTGGCTGGGGAGGGCGGGGTATAAATAAAAATTATTATTATTATTATTATTATTGAGGCTCTGTGCTGGCCACTGAGGAGTGGCTTGTTCCATCTGCCTTGCTCCACCCAGCCCTAGGTGCCTTCATGAGGGAGCTCCTGAAAGGGATACTTTGACCTATCGGTAAGCTATATTCTTACTTAAACCTTTGTTTATGATAAACGAGCTGTTCCTTCTTTATTGCTACGTTTCTGTATTGGGTTGCAGCGATATTATATGTCTCGTGTACCGTTTGGAGTTTTGTGTGTGTGCGTGAACCGCTTTTGAGGGCAGATGGACTTGCGGGAAAGGTGGGATATGAACAAACTGGCCATTTCAAAAACAACCCCCCAAAAAACCCAAAGGCAAAACCGAAACCAGTCTTCCTGCCGAAATATGTAGCCTTATGAGGCTTTGCCCTCGGGTGGGAAAAATATTGCACCTGGGAGACGCAAGTTGGAGTCATACAGACACTCAAGGAATAGCTTCAGAGAAAAAGCTTTATTTCTACTATCCATGAACTGGTAGAAGGAGCAAGTGTGATAGATTCACAAACAAGCACGGGTTCACAGTCATTTGCACAGAGTATATACAGTGGTGCCTCGCAAGACGAAATTAATCCGTTCCGCGAGTCTCTTCGTCTTGCGGTTTTTTCGTCTTGCGAAGCACGGCTATTAGCAGCTTAGTGGCTTAGCGGCTATTAGCGGCTATTAACGGCTTAGTGGCTTTAAGAAAAGGAAACAAACTCGCAAGAACTCGCAAGATGTTTCGTCTTGCGAAGCAAGCCCATAGGGAAATTCGTCTTGTGGAACGACTCAAAAAACGCAAAACCCTTTCGTCTAGCGAGTTTTTCGTCTTGCGAGGCATTCGTCTTGCGGGGCACCACTATATTCCCCTTCCAGTTCTCTACCCTTTCTCCTCCTCTTCAAGAGTCCTGCCCCATGTTGAGTTTCCTGAGCATGAACAGAAAGCTCCTATCTTTGGGACTATTGGGACTCTTGGCACCCTTCCCAGGAAAGGGGGGTAGAGAAGCCAAGGGGACCCGAGGAGCCTTGTGGTTCAGCAGGTTCAAGATGTTGCAACTGAACGAGATAAGATTCAGTTCTCAGGCCTGAGTATTCTTGGCATTGACAGAGTCTATTCATTAGCCTTTTTGAAGCCTGATGCTGATAAAAGTAACATTTTGCCTATGCACAGCATCTTGTGAGAAAAGCAAAGGAAAACTTTAGCTGTGGATTTTTCAGGAGAGAGAAAGGGAATTTTGGACAGTTTTGAGGCCTAGGTGACTTATTGGGGGGGGTGACTTCGGGCCTAGGTGGGGCACCTGTCCTCACCTTCCTTCAAATACAGTGGTGCCCCGCAAGACGAATGCCTTGCAAGACGGAAAACCCACTAGACGAAAGGGTTTTCCGTTTTGGAGGTGCTTCGCAAAACGAATTTCCTATGGGCTTGCTTCGCAAGACGAAAATGTCTTGCGAGTTCCTGCAGGTTTTTTTTCCTCCCCCCCCCCCCTTTTCCCCAAGCCGTTAAGCCGCTTATCAGCTGATCCTAAGCCGCTAAGCCGCTTAACAGCTGATCCGCTAAGCCGCTTATCAACTGATCCGCTAAGCCGCTAAACCGCTTATCAGCTGATCCGCTAAGCCCACTAAGCCGCTAATAGCGCTAATCCGCTAATGGGCTTGCTTCGCAAGACGAAAAAACCGCAAGACGAAGAGACTCGTGGAACGGATTCTTTTCGTCTTGCGAGGCACCACTGTACTCTCTCCTACACAAGTGTATAAAAGTCAGTCAATGTTTATTATGGCAAGCGGCCTACATACGTTGAAAGGCCTAGTTTATCTGACCGCCTCTTGGAGGCCCTTTGGGCTCTATATTGTATTCAGGGCAGGACAGATTATGTTGCTTGGTCAGGTGACAATCACACAACCACAAACACACAAACAAGCTTTGTGCTCCCTCAGTACCTCAGTCTCAGTTGTGGGATTCCCTCCCCACAGAGGTATATCCTGCATTTTCATTATACAGTGCTATCTTGGTTCTCAAACTTAATCCGTTCTGGAAGTCCATTCCAAAACCAAGGTGCGCTTTCCCATAGAAAGTAATGCAAAACGGATTAATCCATTCCAGACTTTTAAAAACAATCCCTAAAACAGCAATTTAACATGAATTTTACTATCTCACAAGACCATTGATCCATAAAATGAAAGCAAGAATCAATGTCGTCTTGTAAAATAAATAAGACAGTATTGTAGATGATAAAAATAAAAATAAATTTTGTTTCTTACCTGCACTGATGATAGTCATTGTTTGAATGGGGGGCTTTTATGAATTTCCGCAGTCAATCAATCAGAAGCTGAATTGGGATCCAGACAGTCACAAAAACAAATTAACCGAAAAAGCCTCAAAACAAAAAACGCAAAATAAATAGCAAAAACAAAAGCACCAAATATAATCTCCAAATATCACCTCAGAATGCTGCAATCGGAAACGGAAGGCTTGAATTACAATGGGAGGAGGCACAATTTAGCAGCACAACGAGAAACACAGGGGGACTCAAAATGGAGCCGTTTGGCTTTGGAGGTAAAGTTTGAAAACTGGAACACCTACTTCTGGTTTTGCAGCGTTCGGGTTCCAAGTCGTTCATGAACTAAGCTGTTCAAAAACTGAGGTCCCAGTGTACATCTCCGCCCCCTCTCAATTCCCAAATGTTCCTCATAAATTCCATTTTATAAAAAATAGAATCAACTTCCCATTCCATTTCCCGTGATCTTTTCCCTATCCCCTCCCACTTTGCTGCACCCCCATCTTCCCTCTTTTAAAACGTAGTCATAACACAAGAATCTTTCCTTGTTCTGTCGCTCGCAGTTCAAAACCTGCATTCACTATTCAGCTTTTGGCAAATGCTGAAGACGCACCTCTTTATCCTGGCTATAGTGTGTTTTCAGACGCAACTATTAATCTGCTATTGCGACTATAATCTGTTTTAACTGTTTTTAAAATTCTGAATTTGAAGTTGCTGTAACCTGCCCTGGGACTTGCTGGTGAAGGGCTAGTAAAAAAAATGACCAAAAATTAGTAAGTCTACAGTCTCTCCCATTCCATCTGCTGACCTGAGTAAAAGGCCAGGAGCCCTCTTAATTGCATGTTGTTGTTTGTTATGTTGCTTATTTGTCCTCTGTCCTTCAAATGAATTTTTACTAGGGTGGTTTTATAACACACACTCTCTCTCTCTCTCCTACCAATGGAACAAAATCACACATTTGTCACCAGACACGAAGTCTGTGGGCTGAACGGTCTTTGCAACAGGTCTCCCCGTGGTTATTATATTATGATTCCCTCCTCCAGGAGAACCCCGCAAAGCCCACAGGTCTCAGGGCAACTTCTAACAATACAAAAAAAAGTAAAAATATAAAAATTAACCCCACTAGAAAATATTAAAAATTATACCCACAAGTTGGTGGAGCACGAGACTCTTAATCTCGGGGCTGTGGGTTCAAGTCCCAGAAAGGACTACAAATCTGTGAATCTGTGATTTCAGAAATCACACCCTCTAGAAGATGACAAGAAGTGACCACAAGCCAATTCCCATCAAGCACCCCCCCATTCCCCCAGGTACAGCAATACTGTCGCCATTAAAATAATGAACTAACAAGCAAAAAGATTGTGTACTATTAATTTAGCAGAGTCATAAATTTTCAGATTAGGAAGGAAGATGGAATAGAATAATTATATATGCTTACTGTTAATGTGATAATGGAATCAGTTCTAAATGTTTTGCTGAGCAAGAATTTCAGATATGACTGAGACATTCTGTTTCAAACTGTTATCATTTTTTCCTAAAAGCTTTGAAATTTGTACTTCTGCCTTGGAGACATTCCAGAAAGAGAGATTTAGCTTAGTAAAACAGAATGAGGCATCTTGCCAGAGCTTCCGTTAGAAAAAAATATACTGCAATTCCAGATGCTGTGTTCATCAAGGCTGTGTGACTACTGTTTTTGGCACCTATTGGCTAACACCTGTAATATCAACAGTTATGAGGAGTGTTCACATAACTCCCACCCCACCATTTTGTTCTCTTTTTACATAGGTGCAATTATTATTATTTAGTTTTAAGATTAGGCCATGTGCACCCTTAAGAGTGGGAATACTCATTTTGCCCTTTAGACAAACAAAACATGGCAAAGCTCTTTTTTCTCTCTCAATAGTTTTTTATTACATATTCTCTTTTACATTTTAGAATATTCATTTAAACAACCTTAAAATATCAATGACTTCCCTTCTTCTCTTGCCATGGTTCATTTTGCATAACATACATCCCTGCATATTATATCTAAACTAAACCATTCAGTATTCCATTATTACATCCATCAAAACTTATTTACACCGTTGAATTCATCTTAATGCTGCCCACGTTTTCAAATATAAACAGTTTTCCTCCATATATTCAATAAACATTTTCCAGTCTTCTTTAAACGTATGTTCTTTTTGTTCTCTTATTCTATTTGTTAGGTCCACAAGCTGCGCATATTCCATCAGTTTAAGTTGCCATTTTCTTTAGTTGGCACTTCAGTCATTTTCCATTTTTGGGCTAATGAAACACGAGCCGCAGTAGTGGCATACAAAAATAAACTTTTCTGACACCTGGGAATTTCTGTCTGAATTATCCCCAACAAGGAGGACGACTCTGGGTTTTTTAAAGTACTTTTAAACATTTTTTTCAATTCATTATGAATTATTTCCCAATACTCTTTTACCCTTTTACAGGTCTACCACAAAAAAATGACAAAACTCAACAAGTCGACCCCCACCACCTCAATAAAGTCCTTGCCTATTCCATGGCTTTCCCTTGAGTTTCTATGGCTGTCTTCTACATGCTAGTGGTCACTGTGGGAGCACATATGGCTTTGGGCTTTGCCAATGGACTGGGTTTGTGCGAAGGCACAATTTGTGTGAAGCAACACTTATTAAGCCGCTGACATTGGGGCTTGTGGGTTTCTGACAGGCCCCTGGTTGGCCACTGTGAGAACAGAATGGTGGACCAGAGGAGCCATTATTAGGTTCTTATAAACAGGAACATCTGTCTGTATAAAAGGATCCACACAATTTCAAATAAATGGGGCTTCGGAGCAGTTGGGCAGATCCACACTGTACACTTCAAGTACATTCAACACAGCCAACTTCCCCAAAGAATTATGGGAACTGTAGTTTGTTAAGCATGCTGCATACTGTAACTCTGTGGGGGGTGGGACTACAGTTCCTAGGATTATTATTTTTTGGGGGGGAGGGTCATCTGCTTTACATGTGTGGTGTGCACAAGCATGAGGTCACAAATGCACCAGCAACCTCACTAGCTACTCTGACTGCGCCTGGGTGCCTTCATTTGACAGCTAGCTTATCAGACTTTTCTCAATTAATCCGGGGACACTTTTTTAAAAACATTCTTTTTAAATCTTTGTTTCCCCTCCTTCTCCTGCAGGAACTTGCTGGCCTCCCTGCCATTGGCAGCCCCCGACCTAACGAAAGAGACCGGTGCCGACCTCCTCCGCTTCTCTCCCCCGCCATGACACCCGCCCTGGATCCGCTCCCTCCCATCCGTCCTCCCTACCTTGGGGACCCTCCCCTGTCCCAGTATCCTGCACCTACCCTCTGCAGGCTCCCTGCACTGCCCAAAGACCCCGCTTTTCGGGCTTCTTCGAGGCCCGGCAGTCCATGCTAAAAAACAGCAGCCCAGGATTATTATTATTTGGGGGGGGGGGATCATCTGCTTTACATGTGTGGTGTGCATAAGCATGAGGTCACAAACGCATCAGCAACCTCACTAGCTACTCTGACTGCTCCTGCGTGTTTTCATTTGACAGCTTGCTGTTTGTAGTGATGGTAAGGTTATCAGATTTTTTTTCAATGAATCCGGGGACACTTTTTAACAAAAATTCTTTTAAAATCTTTGTTTCCCCTCCTTCTCCTGCAGGCACTTGCTGGCTCCTGCAAATCCTCTGGCCTCCCTGCCCTTGGCGTCTCCCCTGGGGGCACCTGACCTGTGCCGGTTGATCTGAACTTGTTGGGATGGCAAGGCAGAGGGGGCTACAAGGAGTAATACATCGATTAAAAATAAGGACTGGCATACGCCTACTGCTTCCTGGCTGTTCAAAGCCCTACATATACATACTCAGTCCGTACTCCAAAGAAAAACTCTGTTAAATAAATCAGTATTAATGACTTGCCTAATTTGCCACCAGGAAAGTTCATAACAGGCATGAGACTCGAACGTGAGAGGCCTCCAGATTCACACCAAGACACTATAGAACACTGGCCCTCTAGCAAACCTCTTGCTTTTGTAAGAATATCCATCTGCCAAATAATTCCTTCAGTGAATTTGCACTAATGCACCAACGCACAAATATAAGTAAGAGGGCATCAACGAGTCTCACAGTAACAACTGTGACCAAACAAAGTGTCTATGCACCTGTATGCCAGCAGAGGGCAATGTTGAAGTGATTATGCTGTCATTCTCATTATCTAAAAGAAATCATAAACTGCCAAGCAAAGGCTGAACCACCACAGTGTTTGAGGCCTGTAGATCAGGGGTCAGCAACGTGCGACCCACAAAGACTGTTTGACCAGACCGTAAGCCGCCCCTGCACCAGTCGTGGCCCGTCAGTCTGCCGTTCTCGATGCAGAGTGCCAGCAGGATGGAGCAGATCGTGGACGAGCCCTTCCGGACAGCGGTGGCGTTCCCACTGGGCACCACCAAGAAGGAGCTGTAGGCGCAGCTGATGGAGATGACGCCGATCTAGGCGTGCAGGAGTGTGCGCTGGCAGGCCTCCAGCAGCCCGAAGGATGGGGCCTTCTGGCAGCGCAGGTAGCCGGCACAGGATGCTGTGGATGAGGAGGATCTCCAATAAAGCGATGCCCGAGGCCTGATTGGCCACGCATGGGAAAGGCGCCACAAAGCTGGCCGGCACAACGCCCCCCAGGAGTGCCCCCAGCAGGCCCTTCATGCTCTCGGATAGGAGGGAGCGGTTCCAGGACAGGCGTCCTGGCAGGGGAGAGAAGCGCAGGTTGGCCATGGTCTCTGCTGCTAGGTCGGGGGCCCCTGGGGGAGACGCCAAGGGCAGGGAGGCCAGAGGATGGCCGGGAACCAGCAAGTACCTGTAGGACAGGGAGGGAAACACAGGGGACTTGCAAGTGAGGCCGGCTGTCTCTGTTCGAGCGGCATACCTCTGCCGCCAGCCTTTATCCACCAGCTCGGTTTCTAAACAAGCCCACTTGGGGGGAGTGTTGTGAGGGAAATAAGCTGCAAATAAGGAGAGGCTGTAGGGACACGGGTGGCACTGTGGGTTAAACTACAGAGTCTAGGACTTGCCGATCAGAAGGTCGGCGGTTCGAATCCCCGCGACGGGGTGAGCTCCCGTTGCTTGGTCCCTGCTCCTGACAACCTAGCAGTTTGAAAGCACATCAAAGTGCAAGTAGATAAATAGGTACGGCTCCGGCGGGAAGGTAAACGGCGCTTCCGTGCGCTGCTCTGGTTCGCCAGAAGCGGCTTAGTCATGTTGGCCACATGACCCGGAAGCTGTATGCCGGCTCCCTCGGCCAATAAAGTGAGATGAGCGCTGCAACCCCAGAGTCGGCCACGACTGGACCTAATGGTCAGGGGTCCCTTTAAGGAGAGGCTGGGGCTGTTTTAAGTGAAAACTCACATTTCCCAAGCATCAATTTATGGTTTTATGCCAGATTCCCCAATTGTTGTCTGATGAATCTCCAAACCTGCCTGGTTGTCTACTCAGATGGGCAGTGAGTCTCAGAAATGGAGTCTTAGATAATCAAGCAGTGGCGTAGCCACAGGGACGTTTGCCCTGGGTGCAAATATCTTAGGGGCACAACATTTCCAAAGGAAAAAATAAAAAATAGTAATAATAAATAAAAAAATAGCATGCCCTCCCCCTCACACAGAAAATCTCCCAGTGTTTGTGTGGGCAGAATGAGGAGTGGCTTTGAGCAACAGTCGGGTGTGAGGGCACCCTGTGCATGGGCTTTGGATAGATACCCGCTCCCGAACATTCCCTCCTCCTGTTCTCCGCTGTGCTGAATGCTCACTGCTGCGGCTGCCAGTCGTGTAGGTTGCAGAGCTATTGGCCTTTTGTTGCAGCCTATTTATTGGCAGGCAGTGCTGAGGATCCTTGCCTTGCCCCGGGCCCTGGCAACCCACGCTATGCTACTGTGTGTGAAATTAAAATTATTTATGTAGTAAGTAGAGTTGAGAGGGCTGTTTTCAAACGTTAAGAGCATTAGAACAGGCTTCTGGATCAAGCCAATGACCCATTCAGTCCAGCATCCTGTTCCCACAGTGGCTATCCTGTGGGAAACCCGCATGACTCATCTAGTCCGACCCCCTGCAACATTGTGAGGTGGGTTAGACTGAGAGACGGGGACAGATCCCCGAGGTCACCCCAAGGCTTCACAGCCAAGTGGGGTTCAAACCCTGGTCTCCCAAGCCACAATCTGACACTCTAACCATTATACCACTTACCCAGCGATTCTCTTCGAAGTCTCCCTTTCCTTTCTTGAGCTCAACCATCTGCCTAATATTCCTGGGGCGGGTGGAGGGAGCAGTTAGCCAAGGGCATCCCGTGATCTTGCATGGGGCAGGGATTTTCTCACACAGAAAGCTGCCCGAATCAGACCACAGTGGTCCATCCAACTCAATGTTGTCCCCGCTGAGCGGCAAGATTTCAGATGGGCCATCCCCCAGCCCTACCTTGAGATGGCGTTGGAGTCTGACCCCGGGGTCTTCTGCATTCAATGCAGGTATATCCCTGAATCGGGGCCCTTCCTCCATGTTCCCTAGGTTCAGGGTCAGGAGGGAGGCTGACTAGAAGCCACCCCTTTCTCTGCTCCTGCACTATCTGTTGTCAGGGCGTCTGGGTTCTATGCCTTGGTTCTAGAAGGGTGGGAATCTAGCAGTCTACGTGTCACAAAGCAGAAGAGGGAGGGGGAGGCAGCATTTATGAAGTCCTCTTTCCCCCCGTGACTCAGGGAGCAGGGATGGAGAAGAGGAAAGCGCTGTTCACAACCCTAGCAGCAATGCAAGCCTCAAACACTGTGGTGCTTCAGCCTTTGCTTGGCAGTTTATGATTTCGCTTAGATCAGGGGTCGGCAACGTGCGGCCCACGAAGACCGTTTTACCAGCCCACGAGCCGCCCCTGAACAAGTCGTGGCCCGTCAGGCTGCCGTTTAGCAGCGTGCGCTGGCAGGCCTCGAGCAGCCACAAGGATGGGGCCTTCTGGCAGTGCAGGTAGCCGGCACAGAGCAGGTGCAGGATGCTGGGGAAGAGGAGAGTCCCCGATGAAGGGAGGACAGAGACCTCGTAGCCCATGCGGCTGAAAGGTGCCACGAAGCCGGCCGGCACAGCGCCCCCCAGCAGCGCCACCAGCAGCCCTTCCTGCCCTCGGATAGGAGGGAGCAGTTCCAGGGCAGGCGTCATAATCACTTCAACATTGCCCTCTGCTGGCGTATATAAAAAACTGTGTAATTCTTCCATACAGGATTGCTTTGAGCAACAGCTCATCATAGAAGAAGCTGACTGCCTTAAACCAAGTATAGATAGCCCTCTATTGCCTCTGCATGGCATAAGAGACCAATGGAACCATGGAACTGTGTGAAGCAAATACACCACCTCTTCTAAACCGCCTCCCCATTCTCATGTTTTGATTTAATCACCAAGAGAGCTAGAAACTTGTTCTATTTATATACAACAAAGGATCCCGGAAACAGCCGCCGCTTTCTAAGCTAGAAAAGCTGTTATGACACAGCAAACATGCCTATGTTGTGTTCTAGACTCTGTGTTTACTAATAAAGACATATTTCCATCCGTTCCTCTCATTGTGGTTTTTTTTAAACTGGTTGACAATTTTTGTGTTTTTAAAAATTTGATCTAGTGCGTGCAAAGCAATGCAGCTAGTTTAACTGGAGGTGGAGAGATCAGCAATCTAATTTCCTTCACTCTCTCTCTCTCTCACACACAATTTTTTTTATCACTGTTTAGCTGAGCAGAGAAAAACAGATGGCAACCTGCTATTACTAATGATATTTTTAAGAGTCTCCAACCTTTGTCTTGTCCCTTCATATTATAATTTTCACAGCAACTTCAAAATCCCAACTCTCAGTAATTTGCTCCCATTTGCGTATCAGCTGTTTGGCACCTGGATTATAAATTTGAGGGATGCACTGACTGTGCTGAGAATAAAATCCCCCTGGTTTATCAATTGGCATTAGCACATTGCCAAATGAGAGGGGGGAAATGTTATTTCTGTGCATGAACCGAATTGGTTTCTTTCTTCAGTTAGGAATTCTAAACCTTCCTTAATCATATATAATATAACATAACTCCAAAACAATGTTTGACAATCTTTTCTGTGTTTCATATGGAATTTATGCTCAAGAAATGCAGTTAGGAAACATTTTGGGTGGCTGTGCAGCTAAGGCCACAGGAACAAATAGACTCCGGCAAACCATTTGCTCTAAGAATACCTGTCTATCTATAGCTGCGCTGGCAGAAGGATCACCTCAGCTAGACACTGAATTCTACCTATTTTCCTTTCTACAACAAAATGAGGCTTGCTTCCCAGTAAATACATTTAGCACTGGGGCAACCAAAGCAAACTCCAGCTTATTCTTATAGTCATGATTTAAGTAAGCTGAAAATGTGAATCTGCATTTTTTAAAAAATTCAGAAGCTGTATACAAAAGATTCCAGCACTGGGGTCCTTCCCTGCATCTTTTCCACCCTCTCAGAGGTAGGGGGAAAGAAGACACACACCTACTTGGCCCTTGGGTGTCTGTGTTCAAAGGGTTAGGCATTTCCCTAAACCCGCTTTCTGCATCCATGATGGGGAGAAGCAAGTGGACCAATAGCTGTCCTGGTCACGTATCTCGAGTCTCAAGTCCCTTGGCCTTTCCTTATAAAAGGTAACTGGCCAACTTGGGGCAGGGATGTCCTTTGAATGTGTGTTAAAGGTACAATGTGTACACAATCAAGGAAGTGTGAAACAAGGCAAATCCTCAAGCAGGGATGTGCTCTGGAAAAAGTTCTTAAGGACAAAGAGAGAGGCGAGAGAAGCTACTTTTGTCCCCTGGGCCTGAGGTTCCCCACTCCTGCAGTAACTTCTGTTTGAGTCCAATTGATCAGAGGGTGCACAAAATTCCCCTGTTGCCACGATACCACAGTACTATGGTAGACATGGAAACTCAGCATCCCAGAAGCTGTGCTGGTAGTGGCCGCTGAGCCATTCTGTACCACGGATCCGTAGGGGTGGGAGGATATTTTTCAAAAGATGCACGATGATTCCTCCTTCACCGTTTTTGGAGCATTTGCTCCTTTTGTCATTTCCTAGCAGTCTGTTCTGTTGTTTTTCAATGGTGTCCTCATCTAATCTTGTGCTGCCAACAGTGCCAAGGTCCTTCCCCTTCTCCTGCCCATGTCTCTGTCCTCTATCCAATCAAGGAAGAGTTCAAGGACGCATTGCAGCTAGGTGGGGACACTCGAGGGCTGCTTACACAGTATACGTGGAAAGCAGATTGGAAGCACATTCTTTCCCTCAAAGAATTCTGGGCACTGCCGTTTGCACCTCACAGAGTTACAGCTCCCAGCAACCCTTTAGAAATTCTGGTGCCCATAATTCTTTGAGGGGGGAAATGTTCTTTGAGTGTGCTCTAAAGCCATAGTGTGTACACAGACTAAAAACACACACACATCACAGTCATGCCACACACAGTTTGAACGAAGTTCCCAGCTTAACAGGAATGTCTTACCCTGATGACAGTTTCGGTGCAGAGTGTGGATCTCTACAGAGAATATGCCATTACAAGTCAAAAAGTTAGAGCAGGAACATTTGGAATAGGGGAGAGTGGTGGCTGGTAAGACAGAAGGCAAGGAGACCAACAGCTAGTGGAATAACAAATTCCACTTTGGTCGCCATCCTGACTATGTGTTCTGTTCTGAAAAGGCAAACTTTAGTGTAAGGAGGAGAAAGAAGACAGCGAGCTCCACCCCCTTGGCTGGTTGATAAGGAGGAGGATGGGAATGGCAAGACTGAGAGATTGGTTGGTGGCAAAGCCATAGCTAGGTGATCTTGTGCCCCTGGCAGAACCGTCCAGATTGCGCCCCCTAGCCACGAACAAATTAGCTCTTCTTTCTGCCTCTCCTCCAACCCGCCCCCCGGCACCCATTCAATTCCTCACACACTTCACCTTGTAATAAATTCTTTTTTGTACTGAATTCTGATAAAGGAGGACACCAAGATGGGGAAGGCTGACCTAGATAACGGTACAGTGATACCTCGGGTTACAAACACTTTGGGATACAGACTCCGCTAACCCGGAAGTAGTACCTCGGGTTAAGAACTTTACCTCAGGATGAGAACAGAAATCGTGCGGTGGCAGCGCGGCAGCAGCGGGAGGCCCCATTAGCTAAGGTGGTACCTCAGGTTAAGAACAGTTTCAGGTTAGGAACGGATCTCCTGAATGAATTAAGTTTGTAACCAGAGGTACCACTGTATATAGAAGTCTCCGCAATTACGTGCAGGTTACGTTCCAGGCCCCTACCTGCATAAGTGAAATCCCCAAAAGTGGGGAGCACCCCACTTTAATAGGGAGAAGGGCCTGGGAGCCAAGGTTCCTTCACCCCCCCTAAAATATTTGAGGAGGTTCCCCCCTCCCCCCGTTAATAGGCATTGCCATTCAAATAGTGTATGTGTGCTGATACGGAAAGGGGGGGTGCCTTCCTTCACCCTTCCTTTAGAGGGTCCGAGGCGATGACCTCAAGGGCACCCAGCCCTACATTCACCCCTCAGCCCCACACCGTTGCACAAGCACCACACCCTACCCAAGCCCCAAGTTTAAAGTGCCTTTCCCTTTTCCACACGGGCGAAATAAGCCCAAACTCTCAAGCCGCTTTCTCTCTCTCGCTCCATCTTTATCGTGGGTTGACCGTATCAAACTGTATTCCCCATTCGTTTCAATGGCCGCGTTCTACCCAATCAGAACCATGAATTCGCTTTGCAGAGCTAGCTCAGCGAGCTCCTGCACGCCTCATTTAACCTCTTGACAAGCTGCTGACGGCTCCCCGCTGGGAGAACAATGGAATCGAAACTCGTGAACCCATAAAAGTGTCAAATCTTGCAACAATGTATCTATTTTGTTTCCGACTTCAATTATTAATATAAGAATGGACTGAAACGGACTAAAACTTCTAAAATTGACCACAACAAACACTTGTAGGGTTAAAGCACCCTATAGGAATGTGCTAATCAGTTTGGGACTTCTTAGTTAAGAAGAAAATGATAAGTGCTCTCTGTCTTGTCACCAGAGCATTGTGGACTATTTATATTGTTGCATGTCACCCCAACCTCTGAGTGGTGCAAAGTTCCAGGGGTGTTTACCCAGGATTCGTGTTTCCTTTTGGAAGTGAGGCACAGTGGAGATGGTGGCGTCTTTTATGATATACACAAGTTTAGCCTGGGATGGAGAGGTTCATAACATAAATCACCCATAGCCACAGCCTCGGATTCAAGCAGAGATCTGCCATGGTTCGTTCTCTCTCTCTCTCTCTCTCTCTCTCTCTCTCTCTCTCTCTCTCTCTCTGCTTATCACTTTGCATCTAAATCACATAGGTAAAGGTAAAGGTAAAGGTAAAGGGACCCCTGACCATTTGGTCCAGTCATGGCCAACTCTGGGGTTGCGGCGCTCATCTCGCTTTACTGGCCAAGGGAGCCGGCGTACAGCTTCTGGGTCATGTGGCCAGCATGACTAAGCCGCTTCTGGCGAACCAGAGCAGCGCACGGAAACACCGTTTACCTTCCCGCCGGAGCGGTACCTATTTATCTACTTGCACTTTGACGTGCTTTCGAACTACTATGTTGGCAGGAGCAGGGACCGAGGAATGAGAGCTCACCCTGTCGCGGGGATTCGAACTGCCGACCTTCTGATCGGCAAGTCCTAGGCTCTGTGGTTTAACCCACAGCGCCACCCACACATACATACCTGCAAAACTCTGCCCTAAATTCTGGCTTTGTCCTTCTCACTCTCTGGGAGATGAGAGAAGGGCCCCACCCATTTGCACCTTAATCCCCCTTAATGACTCAACCCCAAGATTATCACCTTATGATGAAACTAGCTTGGCTTAATACAAGGGATGTATTGAAATGCAGATTCCTTTTTTGTATAGGGACCTACCCTTCCATTGACCTGAAAAAGGCAGCCCTCTCACCCAGAAGATGGAGGTGTGGTGGCAGTAATGCTGTTGACCCCCACCTACTTCTTTAATGGATGATGTGTGGCTCCAGCACCCAAGAGGAGAACTCACCCAGCAAAGAAGGGACTTGCACAGGAGCTGAAACTGAGTAATAGCAAGGTAAAGGCTAGAGACTCCCTTTGACAGTTTCACCCAAGGACTGATCTCATTTAGAGCTCTAAAGCAAAGCATGGAGAAGCGTTGCAATAATTCTAGGTCCCTTGGGAATTTCTCTTTTCAGGCTGAGCAACAGAATATGTTGTTGGCATGAAGACTCAGAGTTTGGAATTGCGCTGCTCGTAATCAATCCTAAAAAATAAAATTCAAAAAGTGGTGGGGTA